ACGCACACACACACAGACACACACACACACACACACACACACACACACACACACACACAAGAGCTCACGCACGCCTGTTTGCTCGTGTTGCGACAGGATCATCTTCGAGGCTGGATATGTGCAGTGCAACAACCGCGTGTTCATGGACAACTTGGGGTCCATCCTCATCAACGCCATCCTCGGCACCGTCTTCAACACCTTTGCTCTTGGTAAGCGCACATGCATGCGCGCGTGCAATCCTGCGTGGCGAATGCCGTTGTCTTTGTTTTCTTTCTCCCAGCCTGATGGCATAGTGTTCACTCTCCACACACGCCGTCAACCCGTGCCCCGCCGTTGGTGCTGCTGCCGCCAGGGTATGCGATGTATGGCGTTGCGACCTCCATTGGCATCGACATGTCTCCGATTGAGGGTCTTGTCTTTGGATCCTTCATCGCCGCCGTCGATCCCGTCGCCGTCCTCACCGTCTTCGAAGAGGTGCTGTGCGGGTGTGTGTGTGAATGCAAATGAGCGTGTGTGTGAATACAAGTGTGTGTATGTGTGTGTGTGTGTGTGTGTGTGTGCAAGTGTGCGCATATTCGTGGGTGTCTACCATCTCGCACCCATGTTCACCACACTGTTGTCATGACTTGTTCTTCACGCTTCACGTTTTCAATTTCTCAGATGCACGTGCACGAGACGCTGCACACGATTGTGTTTGGCGAATCCATCCTCAACGATGGCGTCGCCGTCGTCCTCGTAAGTGACAGCTGCTCCCCCACGTCATCGCACCCTTGCACGTGCTGCCCACAACACAGACAGACAGACAAGACAGACAGACAGACACAGACAGACACAGACACACACACACACACACACAGACACACACACAGACACACACACGCACACGCACACGCACACGCACACGCACACGCACACACATTCTTTACCTTCAGTGTGAATGCTTTCCTGTATCTTACGGCCCCTTGTGCAAGCTAACACCCCACGGCCATGCCACCACCGCGCACATCTTCAGTACCGCATCTGCGTCGCGCTCGCCTACGAAGAAAACATCACCGGAGGTGCGTCGGTGTGTGTGTGTGTGTGTGTGTGTGTGTGTGTGTGTGTGTGTGTGTGTGTGTGTGTGTGTGTGTGTGTGTGTGTGTGTGTGTGTGTGTGTGTGTGCGCGCGTCTGCGTTGTTTGCACGGCTTTACGTATGCAAGCCTGCATTGCATGCAATCTCGAATTGTGTCTCTCGTTTTGAGCCGTTGCTCACCCTCACCGTCATTGTCATTCGCACCCCCTCATGCACATCACGCGTTGCTCACATTTCACCCACCCTTCCTCTGCCCCCACCTTGCCTCTTGCCCACCCCCTTCATCTTTGCGGTGTCTGCACTGCCAGAGGGCCTCGTTGTCGGCTCCTCCTTCGCCACGGGCATCGCCTCATTCGTCGTCGTCTTCGTGGTGCGTACCCACAAACACCGTTCTTTGTTTCTTTGTTGCACTATCTCTCTGCGCACGACATAATGCAGTTTGTGCTGTCCTCAGCCAACCCCCCTCCTCACGCCGCCTGTCTGCGTCTGCGTCTGCGTCTGTGTGTGTATGTGTGTATGTGTGTGTGTGTGTGTGTGTGTGTGTGTGTGTGTGTGTGTGTGTGTGTGTGTGTGTGTGTGTGTGTGTGTGTGCATGTGCTTTCATTGCGTGGCACAGGGCGGCTGTTTGATGGGAATTCTCCACGGCGTCGCCGCCGCCCTCGTCACGCGCTTCCTCACATCCGGTCCGCACAACCATCATGCGTGCTTCTTTCTCGTGAACGTGGTTGCATGCGTGCGTGTGTCATTCGTTTGCATGAGTGTGCACCTGTGTCCGACGTTTGCATATGCGCGTATGCGTGCATGACATGAGTGTACACCGACATGGTCGCATGTTCGCCTCTCTCCTTAGCCACCCCACGTCTCACGTCACGACCACCACGATCACTATCATTTGGTGTTGGGCAGAGAACACGCGTGTGATGGAGCCGTTTATCCTCATCTTCATCGGGTACATGTCCTACCTCGTCGCAGAGATCTGCCACTTCTCAGGCATTGTCAGGTGCGTGTCCATGTGCAGCTTGCATGGCGGTGTCGCTACCAATTCTCGCTTCTCGTGCACGTTGCGTTCACCCCTTTTATCATCTCCATCATCTCATTCCGTCAGCTCGCACCCTGCCTCCCTGTGTTCAGCATTATGATCTGTGGCATGGTTTTGCAGCACTACGCCGCAAAGAACATCCACAAGACGTCCCGCATTAGGTAGAGCGTGCACACCAGAGCTGCATGGCTGGATGGACAGGCGCAGACCGAGAGAGACAGTCAGGCACACACACACAGATACAGACACACACACACACACAGACACACACACAGACACACAGACAGACAGACACACACACACACACACACACACACACACACACACACACACTTCTTTCTCTCGGCTTGCTCACCCTTCATGTGTGCATCTTCGTCTGATGTCTTTGCGATGTTTGTAGTGTGCACTATTTCCTCAAGTTGATCGCCGGAACCGCAGAGACGCTCGTGTTCCTCTTGCTCGGCGTGGAGGCCGTCACGTCCATCTCAGAGGGTGATGACGCATGCTCTAGTCTCTCGCATGTATTCATGCACCCTTGCCTGCTTCTTGCCCGTGCTTTCGTCATCCTAACACACACACACACACATACACACACACATAAACACACACACACACACATACCCGCACACACACACACGCAGGGTGGAACACGGTGTTTATCATCTCTGCGTATCTCCTGGCCCTCACCTTCCGCATCATGAGCGTGTTCTGCTCCAGTTTCTTCCTCAACAAAATCAGACACCTCAAAATCTCCCTGCGAGTAAGTGCCATGCACACACACACACACACACATGTTGTGCTTGTCCTCTGAGTGTGGCCTGTTACTTCTCCGTTGCCACCCTGCTCTTGCCCTCATGGCGCACTTGTCTCTCACCCACACACCACCACCTCCACACACCACCACCTCTACACCATGCAGGACCAGTGGGTGATGGCGTACGGTGGTCTTCGCGGCGCCATCGCCTTCTCCCTCGCGTTTGTGTTGGCCGACCAGAAGTACATCTGCACCGCAGACTTTGACCCAAACGTCAACGACCCTGACAGTGCGTCCCTGTGACAGTTTTGGCGATGCTTTTGATGCGTGATTGTGATGTGCGTGGTGGTGATGATGGGTTAGCTTGACAATGTGTGTGTGTGTGTGTGTGGTTGGTCGCACCTGCTGTTGCGTTTGCTTCCCATGTTTCCTTTCGTTTCGCCAAATCACCGAAGAGCTGTGTCACCCACTCATTTCCGTCGTGTCATTGTCCCTCGTACCGCTGGTCATTGTGTGCCAACAACAGCTGTGTTCAGTCCTTTCCCGCACCGAAACCTCTTTGTCAGCGCCACCATCTTCATCGTCATGATCACCGTCTTCGTTCACGTGAGTTTCATGTGTGAACACGTGCGACAACCACAGGAGCAAGCCTGCTGATTGCTGGGGGTCTCTTGCAACACGTAATAGCTACCGCCACGCGGTGATTGGTGCCACCCTCAACACCTTTGTCTTGTTCGTTGACCACCCCACACCGTGTGCTCTCCCACCCCCATGCACGTCACTTGACACCACACATCTGCCCACCCCACGGCCACGCCACCCCGCCCGTCTCTGTATCTGCAGGGCACGACGATCAAGCCCATCCTGAACTGGCTGCACATCTCGCGGGCGGAGGAGCACGAGCGGCTCGGCTTTGAGCGCCTCAACTTCAAGCTCGTCGACTACACCATGCGTGGTCGGTTCGCCCTGCCCAGGCGCGGTGCTGGTGGTGGTGGTGGTTGTTGTTGTTGTTGTTGTTGTTGTTGTTGTTGTTGTTGTTGTTGTTGTTGTTGTTTAAGTTGTTGTTGCTTCAGTTGTTGTTGTTGTTGTAGCCGTCGTGTTGTGCGGCTGCATACATGCAGTCAATGGTTGGAGTTTTGTGAGACACACCTACGTTGTCGTCGTAGAGACTCAGCGCCCTGCCGGTTCCTTGTCACATGGTTGCAACTGTACTCACCCGATGGGCTGTGCTCCTCCCGACCCTGCTATCCTCTTCGCTTCCATTCTCACGAACCGCAACCACGAACCGCAACCAACGTGTCAACGAATCGCCAGTTGTCGAGTCAATCACGCAGATCCACACGTCCAACTGGCTGCGCGACTTCTACTTCTCCCTCGACCTCTCCCTGCGCAAGTACCTCGTGAAACCGGTGCGTGCCCTGGCAGCCCCCGCTGCATGTCTCGTCCCTCGCATCTGTTGTGTCCTCATTGATCTTCTCACACTGTCAACTTGTCGCACCCGCCCCCATTTTGCTCGTTACGCTTTCGTCACGCACGACACTCTCGTCACACTGACCTGTCCACGACACCACTTGCGCCGTTGCTGACACAGGGCGGCAGCTACTGCGAGCTGCTGGAGCGAGCAGAGGAGAAACACATGAAGTCGTTGCTGGAGGTGAGCGCTCGCTGTTGTGTGACGCTTCTGCCGTTTGCTTGCACTCCACAGCCATCACCCTGCCCACGCTTGTCGCTTTGATGACAATACACACACACATATATATTCACGCACACACACGCATATTCACGCACACACACACACACATACACACGCACACACACACACGCACACACACACACACACACACACACACACACACACACACACACACGTTTCCCATCAATTGTGCTGCGCAGAGCTACAAGGACCAGCGTGTGCGGGATTTGGTTGAAGCCGACGAGCGTGGCCTGCGTACGTTGATGTGTGCTGTTGATGGTGGTGCTGTTCATCTTGGTGGTGCAGAAATGTGCGCGTGATTGTGCAGGCAATGCTGAAACTGCGCCGCACATGGTGGTGCTGGTGGTATATTGGCCATGCCATCGTGGTTTATCATCTTTTCGCGTTTGACAAAGGCTCACACGTTTCCAATTCAACTCCACCCTGCCCACTCCACCCCCTCCTGGTCCACGGCTCCCCGCCTGCCGACTGCTGTGCAGATGAGCGCGAGCTGGAGAACTACCGCTGGCTGAAAATGCACGAGAACTTTCGCAAAGTCATGCATGAAATTGGCGAAATGGCAGACGTCGCTCATCGTGCGTCACCACTTGTTTTCTGCGTGCGTGTGTGTGCGATTGTGTGCTGTGTGTGTGCGCGCGATTGTGTGTGTGTGCGATTGTGTGCATGGGTGATTGTGTGTGTGTGTGTGTCATGTCAGGAGGTGTGCAGGAGTGCAGCGTGTGTTGTTGCGTTTACAACGCGTCCTCACGCCCGCCTGCCCTCCAATGACCGACGGCTTACTTCCACCTGCAGACGCATCACCGCGTCCGCTGCGCCGCCACTACTACGACGAGCTTGGAAAGGAGCGAGCGCGTGAGTGAATCGTTACGTGCCAACCCATACATCGACCCAATACCCGCACTTCCTCTGACTTTGCTTGCTGAATTATCACCTTGCATGGCACGACGACGTCACTGCCACGACTGCGAAATTCACGGCGAATTCACTGCGAAATTCACTATCGCCACCACCATTCACTGCCACGTTCACCACCACCACCATTACTTTTGTCAGCCGGTCCCTGCGAACGCCTCGTCGCCACCGTCAAACACGAGCACGACAAGTGCGTCCATGTGCCCATCTGCGTGGTTGTGCGTGCGAGGGGTGTGTGTGCGAGGGTGTGTGTGCGAGGGTGTGTGTGCGAGGGTGAGTGTGTGTGTCTGTCTTTCGTTTTGCGTGCGTGTGTGCTCATTGTTCACTGCCTCATCATTCATCCCATGGCCATGCTCCAGGGAAAGGCACGCCCTCAACCCCGAAATGCAGCGGTGGGTGCATGCAGCTTGTTGTGCACTGATTGTGAATTCTGATGCTCCCGAAACGGTGCATGCCTTATTACGTCTCTTCCCCTCCCTCAACACTGCGTGGTCGTGCAAGACGTGTACTATTCCCACCACACCCACCACTCACTCCTATTTTCACCACTGCCACCAACAGTGCGCGAAACCGCCGCACGCGCGTGCAGTTTACAGATCCGGACGAGGAGGACCGCCTGGAGATGGAGCGACGACAGAGGTCAGGCAGCGAGCAGCAAACAATCGCGTGGGGTGCTTCATGCTGCATATTGCGTGTTGTGTGTTGTGTGCACGTGCACATGTGCCTGCGGCGTATGGGGTCATCTTGTGACGTCATGTGTGGTGGATGATATGCTTGGCGACGACGCGAGCGCTCACGAATCAACCAACGGTTTGTGTCCATGCTCGTACAATCTTCGCGCAGGCGCGATTGGAAGTACACCGGCGACTTGTGAGTCGTTTATGCCAATGCACGATTGGAGTTTGTGGTTTGCTGTAACATTGCAGATGTATTTGGGATAAACATGCACTGTGCAAGCATAAATATCCGCTCACACACATACCCACTTTCACTTTGTTACTCACCCTCTGTGTCTTACCTGCGCAACCCCCCTCCCCACATCCCCCACACGCACACAACACCACGAATTCCACGCCTTCAGCCGTGCGCGGGATCTCGAGTCTGCACTGCCGGCGCGAACAATGCGCCGTCGCCACAAACCAAAGGCAAAGGAGGTGTGCAGACCCTCCATGTTGCGTGTGACGTGTGCTCCTCAACAAGTGCTGTTTTGTTGTCGTAGCCTTGTCACACTTGTATATGCGCTTCTTCCATGGCAAATCACCACACCAACACCATGTCTCTCGCACACCTTGCCGTCATCGTGATCCTTCATCACATCCACACCGCACTCCCTCTCTTCCGTTTGACCTCGACCATCGATGTTGCAGCCCGACACGGCGAGTGTGCGGTCTGCCAGCAGCGTGACGTCGCAGGAGTCGTTTGATTCGTCGTCCACCGTCTCCGGTCTTCTCTCCGACGGCGAGCTCAACCTCGTCAGGAGGTGCGCGCACATATGTACATGCACACACCTGGCTGGCGCTGGCGGTTCTGTTCTCGTTCTTGTTGGCTTTCCACGCTCACGAAGATCACACACACACACACACACGCACGCACACACACACACGCACACACACACACACACACACACACACACACACACACACACACACACACACACACACAAATCAACAGGTTTGCGTCCGACTCCAACTTGGCGCCGCGGTCGCATACGCAGGCGTTTGTGACGGGCGAGACGTGGATTCCAATTCCGCCGGCCGACAGCGACTCATCGGATGCAGAACAGAACCACCGGCCCCGCCAGCCCCATCCGCACTCGCAGTCACAGCCAAGTCTCGTGCGTGGCGACTCAAGGGTGCGCGCCGCGCGTCTGTTTGCGCTTGTGAAGCTTGCATGCATGGATGTACGTCTTTTCAATCTCACCTCATCTCTTTTCCTGTCCACATCACTGCATCACCTTCCGCTCCCTCACTTTCCACACACATACACACGCACACGCAGCCGCTGTTGCAGGATGGTCAGGACGGGCTCGACCCCATTGAGGAGATTGAGTTTTAGCTGTTGTGTGGGTGTTGTGGCGTGTGCTTATGAACTTGTGGTTGTTTCGCTTGTTTCATTTTGGTTTTCGCATTTAGATGATGATGATGATGTGCGCGCGTGTGTGTGCATGTGTGTGCATGTGTGTGTGTGTGTGTGTTTGTGTTGTGTGTGTTTGTGTTGTGCATGCTTGCCCTGCAGCCTGTCTGCTTGAGCGTGGCTCGCTGCGTCTCTTGCTTGCTCGTGTTCGCTTCTCTGTAAACGATCCTTCCATCCCAAACGACTGCGTGTTGCGCTCTGCTGCATGCAATTGGCAAACACACCCACAGCAGCAAAGCGCGCAACAACAGCAAACAAACCAACAACCAAACCCACGTGCACACACCACACTCGCGTCGACGCACAGGCAACCATGTCGTTGAGGAGCAAGGCGTCGCCGCTGTCGCCGGTTGAGGCACTGAACGCGCTGGCTGATGCCCTGCTGGCTGCAAGTGCTACGTCGTCGCCCACTGTGCCCACGCCAACCACCGCGGGAGACGTGCACGCATTTGTGGTGGCTTTGGACGAGGCCGTGTATGCGCTGGCCAGCCAACCTCCAGCTGATCAGCGGCTGGCACAGGCCGCGCTCCACCGCCTTGTGGAGGCCGTGTACCCAGCGCACGACGCTGGCGACGTTGCTGGCGGGCTGGCCGTGATTGCAGATCGCGTCCTCACACTCATCTCGGAGCAGCTGGATGTCTGGAACAGTGCCGACACATGGCAGCGCGTGTTTGACCAGGGCGCCGCCGACAGCGATTCCGAGGACGAGGACGCTGCCCAGGTGTGTGTGTGTATGTGTGTGTATGCATGTTTGTGTGTGTGTGTGCATGTACAGGTCTACCTCTCTC